ATTTAAATATTTGAGAGGATGTCCCATTGAGTAGGGGGTGAGCTTGTTTTCTGCTACTCTGGAGACTAGGACATGATGGAGCAATAGATTCAAATTGCATGAAAAGAGATTCCGCCTCAACATTGGGAAGAGCTTTCTGGTGGAAAGAGCTGTTTGACAGTGGCATATGCGTAATGGGAGTTTCCTTGTCTGGAGGTTTTTAAAGCAGAGGCTGGATGGCCATCTGTCAGGAGGGTTTGGATTGTGTCTTCTTGCCTGGCAGAAGAGGTTTGGATTAGATGGCCCTGGAGGTCTCTTCCAGCTCTTTGATTCTGTGATTCTATAACAGAGCGGGCCACTCAAAAAATGGAACGTACATGGGTGTTGGCATGCCAAGATTGCATTGATCCTGGAGGTCTCCTCAATTTGAGGCTCACGGTTGGGTTCTTTAAGTCCTGCCAGATAGAATGAGTTCAAGACTCCTACGCTGGTCCTCTAAAACATTGATCTTCTTGTGTCAGACTCTTACTAGAGCGTCCAAGTCAAGAGATGCCAAGAAGATAGGCATTCTGTTAGATTTTGAATTTTCCAACTAAAAAGGGCCCAATTTCCAATGTGTCTTCTCAGTTAGCCAACTACCCCAGAATGTCCCCGTTATCCTGTATTATTTTGATGTGTTTGTACCCATTTTGAGGCATTGAATGTTTGCCTTTTTTATGTGTAAACCGCCCTGAGTCCCTTCGGGGAGAGAGGGCGGTCTAGAAATAAAGTTTTAGTATTATTATTATTAAAGCTGTAAAATATGTTTGCAAGTGGTTAGCTGTTTTTCAGTTCTGTGGATTTAAGTAGCCAATGGATGGCTTCTTTTGGTGTGTTTGTCAGTTTACGTGCGTCAACTTGCAGTTGTACTTTGCACAAATGCTAATGAGACAGCCATCAACGTTGGGGGCCAACGGCATACTAACAACCCAACAGAGAGATAGCCGAGTCTTTAATTGGCGGAGTGTCATTGTCATTAGGCAATGATAAGGACATCTGGGGCTCTGGAGAGAGATTGATTCTGGCATGGCTCCTCGGGTTTTCTGTAGCTTTCCGGTGTTTTTGTTTTTGGTTCTCCAGGAAGTTGCCAGGCTCTTCAGCACCACTTTGCGAATGCCTGGCTTCTTTCAGCTTCCTGTGGAGTCGGCTTGGCGGCAGCATCTCTTTTGTCTTATGCACTTCCCTCCTTGGTCTGTGAAATGGGTTCAAGGTCAATGAATATTAAGCACATTGAATCAGGCAGGTCATGGCATTTATATTAGCTAGCAGAATCCTATACATGTGTATTCAGAAGCTCCCTTGAGTGCAGTAGGCTTTATTCTTAGCTAAGATTGCAGCCCAAGTGTGTAAAATAAACAGTTTGGAAGGTTTAACCATTCACAAATGTTTGTTTCCCGTATTTTTTTCTATAGCCCTTTAAGTGTAGCACTTTATTAATATGTATTGATATTTCCATTCACTGATTGGAAGACGCAATGTGATGATGAAAGAGCAATGTGTAACAACATAACACAGTACAATAAATTCTTGGCCGTTGTGATGGTCTGGATGAGGGCGAATAAATTGAAATTGAATCCAGACAAGACAGAGGTACTCCTGGTCAGTCGCAAGGCCGAACAGGGCATAGGGTTACAGCCTGTGTTGGATGGGGTCGCACTCCCCCTGAAGACGCAGGTTCGCAGTTTGGGTGTGATCCTGGACTCATCGCTGAGCCTGGAACCCCAGGTTTCTGCGGTGACCAGGGGAGCATTCGCACAGTTAAAACTTGTGCGCCAGCTGCGCCCGTACCTTGGGAAGTCTGACTTGGCCACGGTAGTCCACGCTCTGGTTACATCCTGGTTACGGTAGTCCACGCAGCTGGTTACAGCTCTCTACGTGGGGTTGCCTTTGAAGACGGCTCAGAAGCTCCAACTAGTCCAACGCTTGGCAGCCATGATCTTAACAGGAGCAGAGCGCAGGGAGCATACAACCCCCCTGTTGCGCCAACTCCACTGGCTACCGATCTGCTACCGGGCTGAATTCAAAGTGCTGGCATTGGCCTTTAAAGCCCTAAACGGTTTCGGCCCAAGCTACCTATCCGACCGCATCTCTGCCTATGAACCCACCAGGACTTTGAGATCTTCCGGGAGGCCCTGCTCTCGATCCCGCCTGCTTCTCAAGCACGGCTGGCGGGGACGAGAGATAGGGCCTTCTCGGTGGTGGCTCCTCGGCTGTGGAACGCCCTTCCTACGGACATTAGACTAGTACCATCTCTAATGGTATTCCGGAGGAAAGTGAAGACCTGGCTGTTTGAGCAGGCGTTCGAATAATTAGTGTAATAATTGGTTAATGAACATTGGAACGGAATAATGGATGACGAATCTGGATCATGCTTTTGATGATGAGACGATAGTGAATAGTGAATGGTTATTGTAGTAATTGTTTATTAATTATGTAATATGTTAGGTTGTTAACTGTTTTTACACTGTAGCATTGAATTTTTGCTGTTCTTAATTGTTGTGAACCGCTGTGAGTCGCCTTCGGGCTGAGAACAGCGGTATATAAGTAAATAAATAAATAAATAAATTATAGTGATTGCAGAGAAAGTGTCAAGGGTGTTGGGAGGCTGGATTACAATGTGCTTGAACAACACTGTGCAAAATTTGGAGGCTTGTTTGCTTTAACAGGAAAGGTACCAGCAGTTCTCAAGTTATGAACAAGATAGGTTCTGTAGGTTTGTTCTTATGTTGAATTTGTAAGTCGGAAGAAGTACATTTTTAAAGTGTAACTCCAACTAAATGTGTGTGTGTGTGTGTGTATAAGGTTTGGATAGCACAGGGAAGGGATAACATCCCCTGTGGTCTTTGTTTTGCTATCTCTGCCCCTGTTCAGAAGATTTCATTTCACTTTCTGTCTCTGTGGTAATTGGATTTTGAAAAAAAAAACTGACTTGTTGTGGAAACAAGGATTGGTGGTAATGCTTCAGTGGAGAGCCCTTTTTGACATGATAACTCTTTCAGGAGGGATAGATTCTTCTCATTTCCTGTGATCCCACCCCCATTCTTAACTATGAGTCATTTGTACATTGGACATTTATAACCTAGGGACTGCCTATATAATATCTCACAATGATACACAATTTGAGATGATAACATTTCAATTTGTACATTGTGTTTTATAATCTGAAGTTTCAGCCACTGAATTTAGCACAATTAAAAAACATGTTTGACATTCTAGTCTAGAGCTTTCCAAACTGAGTGCCACGGCAGATTTGTGTGCTGCCTGCCATGTGTAGGTGAGTTGTGCGAATGTAATGAGAAACCTCTGAGTCTGTGTGAAATGAGCAATAAATCAGATATTTTTAAAAATATAAATGAAAAGGTTTTCATAAGGTATGTTGTGTCCCCCATACATTTTGTTATTACAATTTATGTATGCGCCTGGTTTACTCTCTGGTTTGCTAGTAAAACAGAATTACTGTGGTATGAAATGACGCATGTCTAAAAAAATCAACATAAAATGGTTGGAAAACTCTATTCTAGGACCTCAACAGATGCAGAGTCTGCCCCTGGTTCTACACACTTTAAAAACAGTTTAAAAATGGAGTCCCACAGAGCCCATCCTGTGATGCAAACCTAATTTTGGCTGTTCCCTGCGGTACTCCATTTAAAAGTGTTTAAAATGTGTGGAAAGGGAGTTTTTAGGAGTCAGCAGTCGTCTTTAGAGCTCCTGATTTGCGCAGAAATGGGTAAAGGGACTTATTTACACATGGGATGGGAACTATCAGATTACCTCATGTTAGATTGTTTTGGTGATGTTTAAAGAGTGGATGTTTCTGTGGACAGTCTCGAAATGAGCCTTAATCCTCCTTTTCTCGGCAGAAACCTCTTGCGTGAAACCTTTATGATATTTTTTTTTTAAAAAAATATTTTTCAGGAATTGCGCAATTTCAATAAATCACCACTTAGCTGTGGTTATATTTTCCCCTTTTTTAGGCGTAGATTTTGGATTTCTGCGATTGTGAAGTTTCCCTTTTTAAAAAAGTGGAATGGGTGGGGACTAGACTTGCTCGAAACACAGAGGATTACAGTAGAAAAGGACAAAACTACATTGCTTATGATGGGGCTGAATGTATTATTCATTTTCCTTATAAACAGAAGTGAATGAAATGCTGTGGTAAAGAAGACAACCACCCCCATTTTCCCCCCTCGTGGGATGAGATCCCTAGTCTGTTCACAAGTGGGACCCATAACATAATGTGCGAGTTTCTTCTGTTCAGGGTTCCAGCCATTCAGACCCCTCCAGGAACTCTCCCTCCCTGCCTCCAATTTCTTCCCCCAATAAGTATTCTGCTTTTTGTGATCCCTAAAGATACTCAGTTCTCTTTGGTCTCTATTGGGAGTGCTACTGCCATTGTTGTTTGTACTACTTCAAGGGTCTGAAGTCCCACCGATTCTCCTGGTATCTTCCTCTTGTGTATGGATGGTACCATTTGGGATACACGCAGAGCTACATCTAGCTATGAAAACTTGGGTAATGAGTTCAGTGTGGGATATATAGACAAATAGCCACAGCCTGAGAATGGAAGGTAGGACTACAGAATCTCTGTTCAGGAAGAGCTTAGAAACCAGTCCATCCTTTTTTATGGAATGATGTTCTCAGAGAGACAAGGCAAAGAGAACGGCCAATATATTTCTGTCCATTATAAATCATGTCTGAACAGTAGATAAAGGAAGCATCCATTCTCCACACACCCCAGCCCATCATTTCTTTGGCAGCCAATGTTCTCTTTGTCCATTTGAGTGGAGCTACAGAAGCTATGAGTATTGGTAAGGGATGAGAGTCTCCAACTGAATTTGCAAAGGGTCTGTTCTCGTGGTGGAAGGTGGAGGGTGGACTGAGCCCAAATGCGTTGCCTTCCCTTGCTCCCAATGGGTCTGTTGTCGTGTGGCTTCCGTTGACTCACAAGGCTTTTGGAACCAAAGCTCGGCTTCCTTTTCCAGATACACATCAGGGGATGTGAAGCTGTGGGACACTCGCACCTGGGACTACACTGCCCCTGTCCTGGAACCGGAGCGTGGCTCAGCTGAACCTGGCCCCAGGCCCCAGGCCTCCTTTGTGAGAATAAACAGCTCGCTGGCTGTGGCAGCTTACGAGGGTGGTAAGTTAATGGCAACTCTTTCCTAATAGTGTGTGTGCGCGCGGTTTTTTTCAAAAAGCGTTACCAAAACGAAGCAGCTGTGCCCAGCTTTGTGTGTGCAAAGGAACAGCTCTAATCCGCTCAGTATACACACACACACACACGTGTGTCTACTCACACTTGCTTTTATGTGGGAGAAATTGGCCAATAACCCTCAGTGCATTAGGAGGCCTTGGATTGTGGTTCCCATTGAAACAACGGTTTTATTCCTCCTGGAGCTGCTGCTTGGGGGAAGGATGCCAGGTTGTGGCCCAGCCAAGCCTGTCTTGAGCAAACAACTTGTTTCAACCTGTTTCTCCCCCTTTCTTTCTTTAGACAGAAGGGAGCTAGGCTTACAAGACAAAGAATTAACCTGATAGAGTTTGATGGCTAGAAAGCCCCCACTTTCTTTGTACTTATGAAGAACATATAGCAAAATAAGTTATGCAAATGCATTGATCTTCTTTACTTCAATGCAGAGCTTTCTAAATATTTCATATTGGCAACGTACTTTGTACACATGCACCATTTCATGACATAATAATTCAGTTTCACTTGCAAACTGGAGAATAAACCAACCAATGCTACTTCTGCTGCTGCTGCTGCTGCTGCTGCTACTACTACTACTACTGATAATAATAATAATAATAATAATAATAATAATAATAATAATAATAATATATTTATTACCCTCCTCTTCTTGCAGCTTGAGGTGAGGTACAACATCATTCAAACAAAGAGATAAAACACTATTAAAATACAAGAGACACAGAGTTAAAATGCGGATTAAAATTCACTGATAAATGCAGATTAAAATTCACAAGCTAAAATTGACTGGATAGGCCTTCTTCAGTTGTGTCTCAAATTCTGATGGCTGATTTAGATACAGATACAGATACAGATGCATGCATATATTGTAATAATGAAGTGTATGGGGAGACAACATATCTCATGAAAAACTTTCATTTATATTTTAAAAAATACATGAAGTGTAAGATAATACAATTTTCAAGATTTTTGTTATGTCTCGTTACATTTGTGCGACACACCTATATGAACGTGTCATGAGACACAGTTTGGACAGCTCTGCTTCAATGTATAGTAGAGGGAAAGGGCTTCTCTACCAAAGATATGTGAATGTGTTTAAGAACAGAAACCAGATTCTCATTTATTCAGGCACACAATGTTTATAGATTCCATAGCTATGGAAACATGGGCTAAATGGAATAGATTTTTGTTCTGCAAAAACATGGAGGATATGCCATGAGATCATAATGTTAATGTTTAAATTTTCAACAAGAGCAAAAATAGTTGTCAGAAGTATCATGGCCGACTGTGAGACAATATTGTAAAAGTCCAGGCAGAACTTGATGTGTTGATGAGTCAATTGTGTTTTTAATGTACACTTTAGCGTTTCGGCTTTCATATAATCATAGCCATGTTACAGGTAGGATACAGAGGCCAACAAAAGCATGGGAGCCACTTTACACACATGCAGGCTTGAGGGTATCTTAAGTATAGTCCACAGTTTCTTGGAAGTCTGGGTTTGCCACTGATTCGGGAAGTAATGGCCAATGGCCAGTCTTGTTTTTCTGGTAAGAGTAGAGTATCTCCTATTCCATAAATGTTTTCAAACTTCTACTTATTGCATTCAGCTGAAAATATAAAATGAATGGTTTGCAAAGTTTTCTTTGCCTAACTAACTTTTATCTAGTTTTGTTTTAATGTATTGTTTCTGCGTTGCCTTGTATCCCACAGTGGGAGAAAGGTGGGACATAAATGAATAAATAGCTCCCCCTGGCAATTACAGGAAGAGGGCTTGGGGGAAAGGAGAATGGTACAAATGTGACCATTTTTTTTACATGAGAGGGAGGAAGAGAAACAAGAATGTGGCAGCACCTTTAAGACTAACTGGCTCTTATTTTAACATGAACTTTTGTGAATATAAACCCACTTCTAATGCAGTGTAGAGGGTTTTTTTAAAACAGTTTTACTTTCTTGGATGTATAATAATAATAGCTTTTTAATATATTTTTATCAAAGTTTTCTAGTGAAAAAATAAGGTAAAAACAGATGTTGGGGTAAATTGTGGGGGAAAAGGGGAGGGTGTGAGGGAAGAGTGGGTCTGGAGGGTTGGTTTAGATAAAAAGGGGGATAAATATATAGGATAGTGGGGTGGGGGAGGGGAATTGTACTTCCATTTTTCTTTGTAATGGCGTAACAAAGTATAATATTGTCCATTATTCTTCTCCTGCTTTCTGCTTCCTCTGCGAGGTCCTGTGAAATTCACACATATGGGTCTTCTGCACCTGCGCAGAAAGTTTTGGAACTCTCTAGAATCTTAAAAAGGATACTTTTTGGCGGTAGCCCCACCCATTCTCCCCTGATAGTATAAATAGCCAGTAGGCGGGGCTGCCGCTCTAGTTCCTTCTTTCCGTCGCAATAGCAGCAGTTAGGAACCTCTCTCTTGTTTAGTAACTAGCTTCCCTTGTTTATTTGATCTTTTACCTCAATTTTGGACTTTGACTGGACTGTTTTTGACTACTCTTTGCTTCCTGATTCGGACTTGCTACTTCTCTGACTTTCCGGCTGACCACGGACCGTCTGACTTCCTCTCTCAGGCCTGTTGCTTCCCCCTTTGGGTGTCATAAAATGGCGGCTGTTTTTAAAAGTGTTCTCAATGTGGCGGCAAGTACCCTGATACTGACGGCCACGTCGTTTGCCTGCTGTGCTTGGGGGAGGGCCATGCAGTACGCTCCTCTCCAATCTGCCAGGCCTTCACCCCGCAGGCGCATAAGTACAGGGAAATAAGGCTTAAAGTCCTCCTTTATGAACAGGCGCTTCTGCCCCCACCACCCAAGGTTGCCAAGAGAGTGGCTTCTGAGCCCTTTCCAACCGCAAACTCCCCATCAGCCATTTCCAACTCCATGGGGCCAATCTTACCTTCGCAGGGGGAATCGGGAGCGCAGGGCATGGAACTGGTGGCTAGCGCTCCTAAAACTAAAAAGTCCAAGCCGAATGCCTCCTCTTCTGCCCAAGGCAAGGCTGCGCAGCGCACCAAGAAGGCTGGAAAAGAAAAAAAGGGGTCCCCTCTCAGGCCTATCACTCAGGGAGCTCTCCCCCTCCCTCTGTCCTGACCAGCACGGCCTCTCAAGAGCAGGATTCTGAAGAGCAGTGTCTTCCTCTCACTCAACCCGAGCCAATGGGGGTCGAATCCTCACCACCTGAGCTCCAGTCCTCCCGTCATTGGAGGATGATTGGCACCCCACGCTGCCCACCCCTTCCCTGGAAAGAGGAGCCTCTCTGCCACGGGGAGATCCAACCCCACCGCCCCTCCAAGTGGCATCGGCTGGAGCGGCTAGTGCACCCTCCGAGCCCAGAAGCCACAGGCTTCCATCACGTGGTCACTCCCGATCACGCCGATCAGGTTACTGGCGCTCCCACAGAAGGCACCATGTTTCCCACAGCTTGGGTTGGTGCTCCTGGAGGGGTCTCCACCGCGAACCCAGACTCCTCTTCCACATGGCTCCTCACCGCCCCCAGTGGCTGAAACTGTAACTGTCAGTAGCGATGATTCCTCGGATTCAGGAGAGGACATACACAAGATTGCATGTAAGTGTAACATGCACAGATATCTATAACAACAAATAAAAAACTGCAGATTGCAAATCACAATTTCTATATTACAAGAAATTCTTCATTCAATGTAACGTGGGAACATTAACACGATTAATTAGTAACAGTTTATAAATGAAAGATTGTTTATCAATATTTTGTCAACACAATGAAACTTAAGCTTCCAAAATCACAATTACTATATACCAGGAGATTCTTCATAAGTACATGACATCCGAAGTAGTAACTCAAATATTGTTAAATGCAATATAATAAGATTTCAGCTTCTAAGATAACAATTTCTATGTTGTAGAAGGTTCTTCATCAATATAGAATATCAGGAACAGTAACACAACAAGGTATCCGGGGTTGTTTCCCTTGTTTCATAATTTCTTCTTCGGGTGTTATTCTTATCTATGATGCTTGAATTCAATTCTAATTAGTGGCTATTGGCTCTGTTGTAAGTTCCTATCTTCATTTATAGCCTTTGGATCCAGTTCCTGTGAACAGCCTAGGATCTGTAGTGAGAAGAGTTCTGTAACTAGCAATTGTAATGGTAACAGAGTTACTGCCACTGCAGAGCCAGCTGGCGAAGGGGACTCCGCATCCCCTGAGGAATTGAGAACATTCTCAGCTCTGAAACTACAGACCTCACAAGTGACCACACCTGTTCATGACCCGGTTTTCTCTCACGATCAGCAACAAACACCGGTGGCAGCTCCACTCCCTCTCCTCCAATATCTTGTTCAACTTATTAAGGTGCCTGGCATGGGCCCTTCCTCTGTGCCCCCTATGGCCAGGAAGGCAGAAAACCTCTACCGTCTAGACATTGCTTCGGCAGAATGGCTGGGAAAACACCCTAAACACAACTCAGTGGTCATAGATGTTTCTCAAGCTCGACCATCTCAGCGGTCCCAGACCACCCCAGCAGACAAAGAGGGCAAAAAGCTAGATGCCATGGGATGGAAAGTCTACACTGCTACAGGTCTCTTCGCAAGAATGGCGCATTACGGCACCTATATGGGGGCTCACCATTGCTTTATCTGGGACAAGATTGCACCACTTCTTGGCCACCTCCCTCCTGGAGACCTCAGACTTGCAAAAGCATACAAGCAGGAGGCAACTCAACTGGCGGGCCTACAAAAAAACCTGACCAAACATACCGTAGACACGTCTGGCAAGCTGTTTTGAGCTTCTATAGCCCTGCGCCACCACGCGTGGCGGCATTCTTTGGGCCTCTCTCAATCAGCACGGGCAGCCGTTGAGGACCTCCCTATGCATGAAGCGGGGCTGTTTAACCCTGACATCAGTGCCAACCTAGAGCTTACGCACAAGATGCAGCAGACAGCCCACAGGTTCGGCCTTTC